CACCCCGCGCCTGGGTCCCTGCGTCCCCTCCGCCAGATGCCTGGACCCCCACCCCGGGCACCTCGCTACCCCCAGACGCCTGGGTCCCACGCCCCCCTCCCCGCAGGGCAGCAGGTGGCCATCAAGAAGATCCCGAACGCCTTTGCGGTGGTGACGAGCGCCAAGCGGACCCTGCGGGAGCTCAAGATCCTGAAGCACTTCAACCACGACAACATCATCGCCATCAAGGACATCCTCACGCCGCCTGGGCCGCGCCCCGACTTCCGCGCTGTGTACGGCCCCCGCCGCCCAGGCACCCGCGCCCGCTGCGGGCCAGAGGCCTGGATGCCTTGGTTCCCTGGGGTGCGGGGCTGAGACCAGGGGTGTTGGGGCCTGGATGCCTGGGCTCTTGGGTGTGGGGGGTGGCATCAAGGCATTATGGGAATCCAGGCCCCTGGGTCCTCTAGGATGGGGTGAGGGGGCTGGGAGCCAGACCGCCAGGTTCTCTGGCCCTGGCCAGGTCTCCCCAAGGAGCTTTGCCCCACCCGGACGCCTGGGTCCTTTCCTGCCCGCAGCTACGTGGTGCTGGACCTGATGGAGAGCGACCTGCACCAGATCATCCAGTCGGGGCAGGCGCTGACACCCGAGCACGTGCGCTACTTCCTGTACCAGCTGCTGCGGGGGCTGAAGTACGTGCACTCCGCCCACGTGCTGCATCGCGACCTCAAGCCCAGCAACCTGCTGGTCAACGCCACCTGCGAGCTGAAGATCGGCGACTTCGGCATGGCGCGAGGCCTGGCGGCACGACCTGAGGAGCACGCCGCCTTCATGACAGAGTACGTGGCCACGCGCTGGTACCGCGCGCCCGAGCTGCTGCTCTCGCTGCATCACTACACCCAGGCCATTGACGTCTGGTCGGTCGGCTGCATCTTCGCCGAGATGATGGGCCGGCGCCAGCTCTTCCCTGGCAAGAACTACCTGCACCAGCTGCAACTCATCCTGGGGGTCCTGGGGACGCCCTCGGCCAAGGTGGTGGGTGCCATCGGCGCTGAGCGAGTGCGGCGCTATGTGCAGGGGCTGCCGCCGCGCCAGGCTGTGCCGCTGCATGCGCTCTACCCGCAGGCCGAGGCGCCGGCGCTCGACCTCCTGGCCCGCATGCTGCAACTGGACCCAGCTCGGCGCATCACGGTGGTGGACGCGCTGGCCCACCCCTACCTTGCCAAGTACCATGACCCTGAGGATGAGCCCGAGTGTGTGCCAGCCTTCGACTTTGCTTTCGACCGCGAGGTGCTCACCAAGGAGGAGGTGGAGGCTGCCATTTTGGCCGAGATTGAGGACTTTCGGGCACGGCGGAGGCTCACAGCCAAGCCCGCGCTGAGGCCTGTGGTGTATCCGCCGCCGCCGGGCAATGATATCAGTGTGAGCGGTGCCCATATGGCTGACGTCAACATGGCCGATGCCAATATGGCCGGCAGAGTCAACATGGCCAGCACCAGTATGTCTAATGCCACCATCAACGTGGCTGACGTCAATATGGCTGCCAGGACTAACAGGGGGGCTGGTGCCGA